GTATTAGGGTGATTGAAGTTAATGATGACTGCATTCGCTCCTCTGTAATCAAGCATTTTTCAGTTGTCTGGCGATATCTATGCGCTGACCGAACGAGGAGCATTTAAATGAAACATCCAAATCGATGACTTTTCCCACCTTAAAATTCACAACTGGTTAATACATTACGGACCGCCGTTGTGCGAGGATCTCCGCACCATTTCGTTACTTTTCAAATCGTGAATCCGTAATTTCATCTGTTTCTTTCCACATTCCTATGAGATATGTGTACTCTGCGTCTAAAAATCGTGTACTGATAGTTTTGGAGCATGAACAAGGTGCCAAATAGACCATAGGAAACGGTGCAGATAGGAAAATGCATGACACACCATGTGTGTGTCACGCGGTCCGGAGAGGTTAACGAAAACTCTCTGCTTTGCACATTTTTGTTCTTAAAAACAGGTCTCGCGGTTAAGGACAGTCTCCGCGCTCAACCATCGAAGGCGCATTGAACAAGCAGTCTGGCCCTCAGGCTATAGCATTGTCCCACTTTCGCAGCCTCGTAGTAAGCAATGAAGTCGCTAGAGCCCCTATAAGTGGTAGTTCTGATACCTCCCTAGTTGTAGACCAAAGGCGGCAGGATATGGCAACGCTGGCATAAATCGAGCAGGTCCGGAAAACTCGTCCAGTGAGGCTACCAGTGGTCACCACATAGGGTGTTTCACATGACTTTTTTTGCTTTTTCTGCCTTGAGCAATCACTTAGCGTCTATAGGTCCGTAACTGAACGCCACTATCCATATCATGCAAACGCGGGGTTTGCTTTAACCAAATCCCAGAATTCTATTATCGTGCCAGTAGCCCGGTCCACACTTTGTAAGTTTCGAGCGGGCGCTGCTGACAAGGGAAGGATGGTAGGTCGAAGTGGCCATTTGAAATGAAATGTATACCGGCTGAAAGGTCTTCGGACGGGAATTACGAAACCGTCTTCCATATCTGCTGCGGACCTCCCAGAAAGAAGTTACGGAGCTTTTTTGGGGGAGAATAGCACTACAAATTGGCGGCGTAAGGCTACTGCCATCATGGCAGCGTGGCCGAGTGGTTACGTCGTAGGGCTCACGGATGCGTGGTCGAGGGTTTGGATCCTTGATCTGTGTTCTTTTGCATTTTTTCGAAAGTGGTCCCTGTGCACTTCAAAGCTTTTTGCATAACTCTTGTGCTTGATGTCGTGAAGTAATGGTTCTGAACTAATGGAGCCATTGGGAACGACTCATGGAGAATATTTCCGACTGAACAGATTGTCATGCAAGCCGACAACTTACAGCAGATGCGAAAGCACCGCTCTGGGGTAGAACTTCCTTCCAAATCGAATTCAGCCACCTTCCGAATCGACTTCACCACACTTATTAGGCCGCGCAATTCATCAACCAAATCACGCCAGACACTACTGCGGCCCGCCCCCTCGGCCACGCCCACTTGCTTTTTGCGGAATTTTGATATTTTTTCAAAATTTTTGCATTTTTGCGAGCTGCTCGTGAAAAGCCCCTGTTGATTCCTTAGCAGCCTCCGCCCGAGCGGTCCAGCCGAGCCGCGCTCCTCGGTGGTTCCCTACAGGTTCAGGGGGAATGGCGCGCGCAAATTCTGTTCGCGCGAGAAGAAATATTAGCCACCGCTAGCCGTCGCCCAGGCCTCTTGACGTGGCATCCCTTCCCTCACGCAGTTTGCGTGCGTTTTTGAAACAGTCCAAACCGTTCACCGCGCGCCAACCCACGCCACGATAAGGCTGCGGATAGGATTTGTGGGGGGAGGGGGGATTAGACCCGAACTTCTGAAGAATCTTCCGCCAGTTCTCGTCAAAACTCTGGCCTCAACTCTTCACGCGCTACCTGTCGGAATGCAAGGTACCCACCTCGTGGAAAACCAGCAAGACTGTGTTGCTGTACAAGAAGGGAGACCTGTACGACATTGGCAATTATCGCCCAATCTGCCTGCTGTCTGTAGTCTACAAACTCTTCACACGAGTCATCCTGAACAGGATTGGCAGAACACTAGACGAAGGACAGCCATGCGAGCAAGCCGAAGAGGATTCAGCACGATTGATCACATCTACACGGTAACGAAGTTATTGAAATATCGCGAGAGTACAAGATGCCGCTATGTCTGATGTTCATCGACTTGAAGAAAACCTTCGACTTCGTTGAGACAGAAGCGGTTATCGAAGACCTGGGCAACCAGAGTAATCCTACTCAGTACATCAGGATTCTTCGTGAGCTCTACAGGCAACTTCACGACCAAGATCTCACCATTCTACAAGGAGATCATCATCGATGAGAACAGAGGGGTTCAAGAACACCAAGCGCCGTGCCCACCTCTTCGATTCCGCGATCCTTCCTGCCTTGACGTACGCCTCAGAGAATTGGACTCTACAAAAGCAGGATGAGCATGCGGTTGGCGTTATTCAACGCGCCATTGAAAGGGCGATGCTCGGAATTTCCCGCTACACGCAAGTGAGAGAGGGAATCCGGAGCTCCGCACTCCGCCGACGATCGAAGATCAGAGACGCCGCCGCATTTGCCAAGGCTTCGAAGATCAGGTGCCGGACACGTCATGCGTTTCGAGGACGACCGCTGGACCAGAGCGATCACCGACTGGATTCCACGGGATGTCAAGCGAACGCCTGGACGACCGCCTATGCGATGGTCAGACTTCTTCGTGAAAGCTCTGAACGAACGGTATGAAGTTCATCGTGTCCCTCGAGCAGAGAGAGTCGCATTGGGGCCAACTCCTGCACGGTTGCAGGCGACGAAATGAAGAGCGTTAGCCTGGGCGCCCGCTCGAGGAACTCGATGATCAACGGGAGCACAGGTGACAGGTGACGTGAAGCCCTGCCCATGTGTGAGGCACCCCCCACTTGCGATAGGCCGGCGGCCGCGCACCTTTTCAAATTGTTGTAAATCGGCAAGTATACGGGTCTCGGGCTGGATATGCCTAGGGTATTGCTGATCATTTAGAACAAACTTTGCCTGATTTTCTTGTTCCGAGTGACGAAGACCCTATACTGCTGATTTGCGCCATTTTTGAAAAATGGGCGGGGCTTCTCCCAAGTGGGCGGAGCCTCTCACGGTGGACGGGGCTTCACGCAGCAGTCCATAAATGCAAAAATTTTGAAACAAAATTCCGCAAAAAGCAAGTGGGCGTGGCCGAGCGGGCGGGGCCAGCAGTAGTGTCTGGCGTGATTTGGTTGAATTCACAGTTTTTCTGATCATCATAGCAACCCCTCCACCAGTTCTGCGCGCCCTATCACAACGTACAATAGAGTAATCACTAATCCAATCGCTGAGCATGGATGGGACAGAATGGGCTTTTTTTAACCAGGTCTCAGTGAATAGATAGAGATCGAACCTATCACGGATGACAAGGTCAAGAAATGAACAATTCTTTGGAAAAGATCTAATGTTCGAATAGAATACTGAAAAGTTCAACGAATATGCACAACCATTATCATAATGAAGAATCAAAACATGCCGGGGAAAGGAAATCAGTTTCCCTGTGATGCGAGGTTGGAATGTGAAAAAGCATCTGAAGTGTGAACACCAAGTGCTTGACGACTGGACTTTGGTAATGAAGACGTTCTTCTCGACGTCTTTTTCTCTCAGGCTTCACTGAGGGACTCCCTAAGGAATACCCCTTTTTCCGAGAAAAAACGAAGTCGAGGAGCACGCCGCACAGCCATGCGCTGGTAATACGAAGAAGGCATTATGACCTTAAGCAGCCTATTTTTCCCTTTCATGGGACTTCCTAATCTATACACAGCCACTGGGAAACAACCTACATCAAGATGGCATAACACGTTGAGTACACTGTTATAGTCATAGCTCAATTTCCTAAAAAGGTCGCAGTTTTTCAACTCAGGATACCTGCTATTATGAGTGACCTTTACGTTCTAGTTCGATACAATCAATATTGACAGCCGGCGGTGGTGAAGGGTCAAAATGCTCAGTATCAATGTCAGTACAATCCAAGAAGTGCCAGGGGGAATGCCTAATTTCTTACGGAGTAAAGCATTCTCAGCACGAAGCTGGTCACGTTCATTTTTAACATCATTCAACTTCCTTTATCAGAAAGTCAGAGAGTTAAGTGCGGACTTTACGCAGGCCGCCACAGGGGCGGAATTGACCTCCCTCATGGCCTCTCTAGTGCTGACGAGCTGGAACCTGGCGATAATATCAACGTGGACGGGCACGACCTTTTTGTACCTTTAAATGAAGCACGTGGAGTGTCCATAGTTGAAAAGACAGGAAAAATATATGAAAAATAGAATCAATACACCTTATCGTACGACCCAACAAGATGAAAACTGATCACGGGTCGTTCGTGACCAACGCAAATTGGAAATCGATCCTCAACTTTAACTGGATCCGACGACAAAAAATAGGTAACAGTGAATAGGCAGAAGCAATCTCATGCACTGAATACCCAAAAGAAGAGTGGCAAGAGGCCGCTGAGAGTAGTAATCCAATAGAAGTAGAGTATGCAAATATCAGTGAGAATTCGAATATCAGTAGAATAGGTGCGAGAGCAACCACAAAACCGACCGCTCAGCGCCGGCGCACGCACAAACTCCCAAAAGTTGATCGAAGAACTGAACAGACTGTACTTTTGTAGTATTATGCACTCAATACCTACAACTGATAACAACAGCACCAAATACTAAAGACAACTCACCGACACCTCCAATGAAATTGAAAGTCCTGAAGAATGTGACACGCGTGACAAATTGCTAGGACTTCTTTATCGAAACCGCTATGCAATCAGCCTCATTGCCTCCATCAGCTCGTCCCTGTTGTTTATTTCGGGGATAACCGCTTGATAGCGATCGCTTCGAGCAACTTCCTTTCCAATGGGCTATCCTTCGAGCGGTGTAAAACCGTGACTTTTAGGCGGGGAGGTGCTTCTTGTTGATGAAACATCGTACGATGCCTCGAGAACACACTATCGATTAAGGTGGGGATTCCACAAGGCTCTATGTGTTCGTCCATCCTGTACAGCAAGGAACAGTTACTTCGGCCACATTTCTCTTCGTAGATACGGGATGATGTTAGCAAGCTTCTTAGATTTTCAGGTGGCCGGAATATTAGCTTGATTGGAAGGTGCGACGACTTGATGGTATGATTGACGTTCTTTGCTACTCTTTCGTTAACATATGGCAAAACCAATGGTACTCCTCCAGTAGCAAAGAAAGGTCGCCATGTTCTTGGTTCGTACGTCGAGTATTAATTCAGCTTTGGAATACAAGTACAACGCAATTTCTTTATGCGGATAACATTTTAGGTTCTGCAAAATAAGAACTGAAGATGATGACGAGGGCTAGAACTCAAGAGCAACTGTGCTGCTTCTGCAACAGCCCTCGCAGGCCGCGCATTCCCACAAAACATCAAAATAAAAACGGCCTAAGCGTCCCACTCGTTAGTTTGAAGTATTTCTATAGCATTAGAGCCGGATCGCGCAGAAATGCACACGCGATTTTAATTTATTGCGTTTCCTTAGTTTTTTCAATTTTGTTTTATTTACATCTACATTCGTTGTTCTTCATTTCTAGCCTTTGTCATCTTCATCACCTTCTATTCGGACTTTGAAGCATGAGCAATACCTCAAATGTTAGGAAATTGCTTGTATTGTCATGTTTTATTGTCATGTTGTCCGTTTTTATTGTCATGTTCTGTGGGAATGCGCGGCCTCTGAGGGATATTGCAGAAGCACACCCACAGTTGCTCTTTGAGTTCTAGCCCTTGTCATCATCTTCGGTTCTTATTTTGCAGCACCTAAAATGTTATCCGCATAAAGAAATTGCGTTGTACTTGTATTCCAAAGCAATTACAGGACTTGGCAAAAAGCCAAGAGAGCTGCACGATCGACGCCGACGCTGAGGTGTTAGATGAAAACGTGAGTCTTAGCAAAAACGGGCGGCGTAGCAAGGAATTACGACTTTCGTACTCTGACCCCGTGCATTTTGGGCGGGGGAACCACGATACATCGACAGCTGGGGGCTGATAGTCTCATGAACCCAATGTGGAGCGTACCATGTGTCTTTAATGCTTGTTGTAAGGGTCCATGCAAGGACCGCAACAATGGGTTTCTTTTTTGCTATGCGTTTCTCGGGAGGTCAAAACCTGAGTGAAAAGAATTTGACAAGAATGGGTGATTCTAACTATCTTAATGGGCTCCGTTCTTATAGTAATTTCGAGCATGCATAGTTTATGAGGTGCTCGTTAATTAGGTTCGAAAATACTTGTAAATAAGCCAAAATGTAAGTATGATGCAGTAACACACTCAGCATGCACCAAGGCATCAGTGATGTTTTTATCAGCGGTCCCCTCATGCTCACTGCCGGCGGATCGGATGGCGCAGCGGATAACTCGATGGATTCTGGATGGGGAGACGATGCGGGACTTTGTGGACCGGATCCTCCTTGCGGTATATTCTTCTCTATTCTCGAGGCTTCATTGACGAGCACCTCATAAACTATGTACGCTCGAAGTTACAGCCAGAACGGAGCCCCTTAACTTTGTTAAAATCGCCCATTCTTGTCAAATTCTTATTTCACGTCATTTTTGAGCCTCCCAGAAATGCATAGCAAAAATGAAACCCATTTTTGTGATCCTTGTATGGACCCCTACAACAAGCAACAAACCATTTCCAAAAAGCGCGCCACGACCTGAAAGGCTTCCCTTATCGGCTCAGCCTAATGATTTTCAGAGGGGGCACTGTATCAGATTGTTAACTACCAATCTTCCGACTAGGACAGTTTTGTACGCGAGCTTTCAAAAGAGCTGAAGAGTTGGCGTATCGCCCAGATTTCAATTTACCAAACACCCAATATCGGGCATACGCTATTGGCCAGGAATTGCTTGGCGCTCACGGTCCCACGGCTCAAGCTTTGCGCTCCAATCGCTATGGAGAGCGCGTCCTTCACGTCCGACATACTCGTCCAAGACGCCGCCCCACTGCTGAGGGAGGTCTGTGTTCAGGGTGTTCCCGGAGGTTTTTCGCTTTTTCTCCTGAGGAGCCACTTATGGGCCCTTGATCGCGGGAATTGTCTCTAATCAAGAGTGGATTCTCGCTGCATCGTACGATGTTTCACCAGCAAGAAGCACCTCCCCGCCTAAAAGTGACGTTCTACACCGCACGAAGGATAGCCCATTGGAAAGGAAGTTGCTTGAAGCGATCGCTATCAAGCGGTTATCCCCGAAATAAACAACAGGGACGAGCTGATGGAGGCAATGAGGCTGATTGCATAGCGGTTCGATAAGGAAGCTCTTGCAATTGTTACGCGTGTTAGATTCCTCAGGGCTTTTAATTCATTGGAGGGCCGTTGGGTTGTCTTCAGTATATGGTGCTTTTGTTATCAGCTATAGGCATTGAGTGCATAATGCTTCAAATCTAAGCGACTTTGTTGTTAAGAAGTAGCCCAGGTTAGTACTTTGATCAGCTTGATTGTTGTAAGGAATTGAAGTACTATGTATGCTTGTTTTATTTGAGGTCTGAAGAAGCTGTTACCACAGCGAAAGCTTACCAATGAAAATAGTGTCGAGTATTCACTGAATATTGTTGAAGAGGACGTATCGTCAGAGTTCAGTCAGACTGTACTTCTCATTATATAAGAGGTTCAAACCCAGTACTTTTGCTTGGTCTTTCGTAGCGTTAGCTAACCGCCCTCTCTGCGCTGGTGTTAATACATTTTACTGCAACGTCCAGTTTTGGCGATTTCAACTAGTACCTCACCTCACCGTCAAAGTTTCAGAGTGGAAAAATTCGAAAGGCGACCTCCAAACTGTCGGCAGTGGGACTATACGCCCCTCTCTCTAGGGCCCACTACCGAATGTTCGCTCATGATCCCTTTGCCAACAACCTTACAAGGAAAGGATGGTTGGTCGAAGTGGCCATTCGAAATGAGATGTATACTGCCCGATGGGCCCTTGAACGCTGATTACAAATCTGCCCTCCATATCTGCTAAACGATTCCCTGGACAAAGTTATGCAGGAATTTTGACCAGGTCACACCCATTTCCAGCATGTATGTGAGGCACACCAAAACCCCCAAATTTGCTAAAATCTGGAATTAGAGGTGGTCTGGTGCTCTGGAAATCATCACTGCAGGTATTTTTCATAAAAATGTCTTGTTCACATTCTGGAGGGCAGGGTGTGCAGGACCTGCAACTCCCTTGGCGAGCGTTTTTACGCCGAAGAAAGGTGTAATATTCGTTTCTGGGGCTCAAATTAGCCCTAGAGGCAAGTTTTCAACCAAATCTGAGATTTCGACCTATTTTCGATACAGTGGGGTAACCATGGGCAACGAATTCCTTAAGGTCGCTGGCACTATCGCCGATCAAAATCTCTGTGAGCAATGCTTTTCCGTGAATCTCATCGTCCTTAAATGGCTTATGACGGCCCTGCATTCACAAACATGACTTCACACTTCTGGCTTCCACTAGCCAATTTGGAGTCAAGTTGGTGGATCAACACAAAGCGTCAAACCGTAAACGAATAATTGCCGCCGAAACAACAATCAAGGGTCCTTCAAGGACGATGTTCAGAAATGGCTCCCATTCCTTCAGAAAACCATTTTCGGCTAAGATCAGGTTTGTTTATCGTCGTTTCCAATTGCCGGGAAAACTTTTCTCTTGACCTTCCAACCACTTCTTCTCGGATATTCGATTTGTTCTCGGAATCACAACTTGGGTGTACCACTATATGAGCACAACAAACAATCAGTTAGATTGTGATTCACAGGCGCAGGGTTGGGGGGCAATGGTTCAGTTTCCAGAAAAAGCTTATTCAATGCGCGTGACAAAGGTTCCCTGCATCATCGCGGTGTGTCGTTAAAGGGTGTGTAAAACATTCCAGAGGAAGCAGGTGTTGAAGGACGATGTGCAAAGAGCAATCCATCAAGGCATGTCGAGAGCTGGTCGAGCGTGTAAAGACTTAGAACGGGGCTAGTACCACTAGAGCACCGTGGCACGTTAGAGTCACCACGTGCTGTGTTTGCTGTTCCAAGCGTGCTATCGTTGTGCTCCGTACAACAACCATCCTGAGTATCTGTGCTCAGAAATCGGATTCAGCAGATATGGAAGCAGATGTGTGTGCTGAGATGATCAGCGTCTGATGAGTGTCTGTGTGGTGAGAACTCCTGTCTTAAAATGGCACTTCGACAACCATCATTCCCTTGTTAGGTCAGAGTGCAGTAGAGTGGCGTGTATATGTAATACAATCTATAACTGCACAATTTTACTGTGGATTCCATCATTCACACTTCGACTTAAGTGGCGGTTGGAATGATTAATAATCAGGTTCGAGTCTTTCTGGAGCCAAGCGTTTTGAATGTAGCAGAATTCTCATAGTAGTTAGTGCCGTACGAGAAGAAAAAAAACATCACATTAATCACATTCTGCGATAATTTGTGATATGAAACATCGATTATGCGAGCTGCCTAATAACCATATCCTAGCGAACAGCACACATGTCAGCAAGAGGCCAAGGGTCACATCCAGAAAGATGAATTGAAAAAAAATCAATTAGTAAACCTACATCGCGATTGATCGATGATGCTTCTTTATCCTCTGCTATAGGACGACAGTTAAGTTGCGAAATCCGGTAGTATAACTGAAAAAAGCATGTGTACAACAATTAACTTATATTAGTTCAAGCCGTCCAAAAAGATACAGTGCAGGTCACTTTCACTAGGTGTTGCCTTTGCAAGCCCAAGACGCCTTCATCAGATGTCTCGAAGCAGTTATTACCACTTATTTTTTCACTCCCAGTCTCTAAAAAAATAAATACATTTTGGCTGCAGGGTAGAGGGTTTACGAATAAGCTCATCAGGGAATGTCAAAAGGTCGATTAGACCATTTGTAATGGGATGTATACCGATCTAAGCGTCTTGAGACACTGCGTTTAAATCTGCCCCTCAATTTCACAGAGCGGCTCTCTGAAGGAGAAGTAAGGATACATTTCTTGTTGTGGCGCCATCCCAGTACCAACTGTTTTCGCAAAAGTTCACTGAGAAAAACATACGTTGCATGTGGGGGTAGTAAGGTAATTATGAACCTTGTCTCATAAATGGGAGATAACATGTCCGAATCTTTGGTGACAGTTAATCTTTGCTGCTTCTAAAACGTCTCCTTTGAGGCCAGCAAGTAATCCTATTTGGTTATTTCACCACCTTTTTTTGATACCTCACACCAAGAGAGAGAAATTTCTTCCTTTGTGGTTCTTTTTCAACACTTCTATTGCGAAGATGTTATATTACTAGAATACCCAGAGAAAAAATAAAATACAAGAATGCTGAGTTGTGGGCAAAAGTCGTGCCCCAGGCGGGAGTCGAACCCGCACCTCACGCTTTCCGGGCGAGTGCGCTATCCGTTACGCCACCAGGGCCGCTTTTACCCTCTCAGCTTAACGGCTTATGCCGTAACCTTACAGCACTCACACGTTTAACTTGGTGAGCCGGTCAGCCGTAATCGTTAGATATCGGCATGGAACCGCAAGGCCGAAGGCTTTAGAATCCGTGTTACAGTAACCCGTTGTCATTGGGGCGCGTTGTTGGATTGGAGCATGGCCCACCGGCCCTTCAAACTTTTAGCCATGGAAGGTGTAAGTACATAGTTGATTTCTTGAGCTGACTTCATAGGTATTTCAGCACCCTAACCCTAATTTCTAAATGCACCATTTATTCGAGTTATTATGGCGCTTCCGTGATTATGTGCATTAACACTCCAAGTACTACAAAGTAGTTTTTACTCATGAATTCTTATGAGTGAAAAGTTTTCAGAATGACGACCTCTGCAAGCTCTTTTGTGTTTCTCGAATTGATTCACTGGGTTGGGATTTCAGCACCCTAACTTCTAAAAGTCCATTTATTAAATATTATGAAGCTTTCTCAACTATGAATATAATATTACCACTCCAAGTATTTCAGAAGTAGTTTTTACTTATGTCGGGTCCACGACCTGGATGGGCGTGGCCCGAGATTACGGTATCGCAGGAAGCTGGCGCAAGGCGACTGGAAGACGAGACGACAGGACAGTGGTAGTGAGTACTCACGATGTGACGGTCCACCCCCGACCGTCTTCCACTCCCGTCCAAGTTCCCTTCCCCTTTCCTTTGATGTTATTATAATAAATATGTATAGCCTAAAACTCTTTTGTATTCAAAACCGCTACACACCTTCAGATACAGGAGTCATGAACCTGTAATCTGATATGGAGGTCCCGGCGAGATCAGTTTTTTGAATATCCTACTATATATAATCCGCTAAGTGTGTCTGTGTGTGTCTGCGTGTGTGTGTGTGTGTGTCACGAAATTCATAGCGCCAGTAGCTGTAGGAAGTTGATTCCGGGCAATGATATAGAGGCTGTGACGGGAACATTATTGGTGGGTGACAGGGAGTGATATCAGCTGATAAGATCCGATAAGAGACGTCTGAAGGGGAGAGCCATCGGGTCCATAGTGCGGGACACAGCAACAGTGGGACGTTGGTTCCAAGGTATGGTATAGGGTGTGATACAGGAACATTATTGATGGGTGACAGGGAATGATATCAGCTGATAAGATCCGATGAGGGGAGTTAGAAA